GTATTGATGTTCCTAAACGGAATATAACAAGCGCAAGACATCGCACGGTAAGCTAGGTGCATTTGAAAGTGCCATCTAGGCCAACACGTTCGCCACACCTGCTTCTGTAAACCTACCGTAGATGACTTTGTCCTGGGATAGTGGAACATCGTATTGGTCAAATGATAAACCCGGCTCCGTAGCCTTTTAAGTGGGAAGGGCTAATTTAAGACAAAGCTAGTTATGCACCGGTCGCTCTGTGGACCAATAAACTGCAATCAACTATTGGCAAATCAATCGATCAGCCACCGTATGCTGATGTGGTGGCCTTTATAGCGTGTCCCATAGGGCCTAGGCACGACGAAGCTGCTTCAGGTAGGGTAAAAGTCGTGCGGCTGATCTAGATAAAACTAACAGTGTATATGTAAAACTAAATTGCATGTAAAGTCATGAACACGCGAGTGTAACTAAGGTCGGGTAGAACGTTAACAAAGCACCATGCCCCGAGAAAGCTTGGGTGTCAGTAGTGTACTGCGAATGCTGAAGCAAATAATGGGAAGGTAAATTTTAAACGTTTCGGTGTTCGACTGCATGTGCATATTAGGTTTCAGAGTTGCAGAGACGACCAGCTCCAGACACTTGGTGTTCAGAAAATCAGCAGCGTTAATCTGACGGGCAATGTCTACCCAGGCTTCAATCCATGTTGAGCAGTGAGGACCTGAGGAAGGGTATTTCAACGTAACAGAAAGATGACTTCATAGCTCTAACACCTGATAAACTATTGGCATCTAGATGTATACTTGCATTTTTTATTGGCATACTGCGCAAAAAACCAGCCGCCCTGAAAATGAGCAGGGCAAATGACAGAGCATCTTGGCCACACGGAGGTAGTAGTACCTTCAAACAAGTTGTTATTTTCAACAAATGTGACAGTTTGAATGTACTTTTACTATGTATTGTTCAGTAAGTAATTTTTCTCTCTGCTCCTTATAGGCAGCTAGGGTAGAAGAGGGAATCAGGATGATGATCTGACATGGAATGATGAAAGTGTCGAAATGTTATACTACTGATAACTTCCAGCAGCGTTTAGTGGACGGACATTATCACTCACTTTAACACCAAAATCTGGCGGAGCTGAAGACCAAATTGCACCAATAAACGAAGTGGCCAGATAACATATAACAGCTTCGACACAGTTGGGGAAAAGACCTGAATCGATGAAAAGAAGTGAAAAGTGCCATCAAGAGTGAAGCGTGCCAGTAGTCCGCTGTTGCGATAAATGGCCGTAGAATCCTCAAAGAGGGATCGTAGGTCTCAAATCACAAATTCCACAAAAACCAGTGATACATGGGTGAACAAGACATTTCACATTGATTTCAAGACTCGCTCAACCGAGACACCATTCACATAACATGAAGTTAAGACAGTCGACAGACAACCAAAAGGAATTAAGGCTCCGTCTGCAAATCGACTGTAACCAGTATGCTCAGCTGTTTCTTTCAAATTCTACCAATTTTATCCTAGTTTCGCGTCTACCCATTTGGGATGCCAAGCCTCGGGGGTTTTCATATCCTTATTAATAAGCTTTTTATCGATTGGACCTAATGAGTTGCAAAGTGATTCCTGTTCTCTGAAAAGGTCCATCGTACCATGGCCATGTCTATTAAAACATGAAATCCGGGGAAAAAGTGCACTAACTACTCCTTTCTGGTCAACTGACCCGGAATGAGCATAGATCCCGAATGCACCAAGATATAAAGAAAAAGCGAATTGACACTGAAAGCATGCGTAGAAAGCAGAGACGAATCACGTGGAAAGTTTTGTAAACTCCTCAAACCACTGAATAAAACCGGGACTCGAACTCAGTTAATTAAAAGTAAAATGAGTTTCGAGAATATCATCTGAAATGTTGAGAAAAAGAACCTAATGTGCACAGGATTTGGTTGCCAAAACCAATTTTTCGGCCGTATTCTGTATACTGGGTCGAGCAAGCTTGTCACAACAGAAAAATTTGTAAACTGCACATAACGTAACCAGCCTAACTAGGTTTTTGTGTCTGTCCAGATGGAAATACGAGAACTGTGTTGAAGCACGAAAACTAAGCCTTGTCAGTTTAGCTAGGAGAGTTCCCAGTTGATTGTTCTGATAAAAATAACGCTTTGGTGATTGGATGTTACAAAAATCAAAACAGCTACTGAGGTAACACACTACTTGCAAGGTTGGTGAAAACTCTTCAACAGCCCACGACCGATTTTGCCGTTCATGAGGCTCTCGTCAACCTTTAATTCTACTTGGATCCGAATTGCAATAAATTTGGTATATACGTCCATCTGAAGAACATCACAAACGGGTGAGTCCGCCACAAGATGGTATACAAATTAATTAATTTGCAAAGGACATCTATTCCTACATCAGATATGATCCAACTGCCTCGAAAGTTCAAGTATTGCGTTCATAGAGAGATGCGAAATTAAGAAGAATCCCTCAGGCAGCATAGATCACCAACTGAGGTTCTGTAAGAATAGCAAATCATGCTTGCCTTGTTTCTGTCACTGTTCCGTTTCCTCTGTTGCGAGCGTTGGTCCATTGAATTTTCACCCAGGAAGTGGAAGTATGGGAGTATCCACAAGTTGTCCGGTATTATGTATCAAGAACTACTTACCGCTAACGTCATCGCTGTCAATACGATTCTCAAGTGTTAGGCGCGGCAAAGTCGAAAGCGTTTCGCCACACTACAAACGGCCACAGGCGGATAACACAGGGAGAGGAATGGGTCAATGCCAAACTACACTCGTCAGCTAACATCCATCCCTTGTTGGGGCGTACTGACCATCAACTCGACTTTTGACATGAACTAAGTTTAGGCTAAGTTATGATGTGTTGTCTGGCAATGTAGCGCACCCTACTTTTGTTTCAAACGAAGAGAAATTTGACGATGGACACAAAAAACGCCGTTTCCCCCGTTCGAAGTTTGCATTTAAAAGCTTGGCAAATTTCCTCCTGCTTTATTCTAACTTATACCAAGCCCCTTTAGATAGCTGAACAACAGCGGAACTAATACAAGACTACCACTAACAAAGATGAAAGAAATTAGCCATAGTCCATTAAGCAAGTGTGTGAGGGTGTGTTTGAAGTACAAGTCCACAATGGGAGCTTATTTGGTGGAGCAGCCGTCCAAGTGAGGGCGAAGTAGTTCATTCGTTTTCCAACACAGACGTTCTTTTCATTATACTATGTGTATTTGCATTTTAAAAATTATTGAATTTCATTCCCCACCACACATCCACTTGTTTTTTCCTCAAGCTGTTTACTTGTAGGTATGAGATGCAAGGATAAGGGTTAAGCTAGATGGAGTTTAGGCAACGAGGAGAAGCTCGCACTATCGGAAATTTCTATGCCGAAAATAACTGCTTCAGAAAAGTGGAAGCGATCGACAATGCTGCGAATTTACCTTCGAGCGCAAATAAGTATAGGGAAGCAATGAAATTCCAGTTAAAACTTGAGTTTTAGGGAAGAAACAGTGGAATAAAACACTGGTTAGGATCAAACGAGAATGGTCACTTTGTGGGGGGGGGGATGGAGTGGCTACCGTAGTGGAGTTTTACTGTAGACTCAAATACTAAGATTCCATTTGAAGCGCACAATACCCAACTGGTGATTCTCAAACAACATGAACTGACAGTGGGTTGTTTTTCACCTCCGCTTTGTACCAACCACGTCCTGATCAAAAATGAGAATAGTCTAAATATGATTCATACATTACGCGGACTAATGAAAGATGATGGTGAAGTGCAATCCATGGAACGACGGATTTCTCTTGCAGAGAGTATTTTCGATTTCTCAGCATACAAGCGAACCAGAACAGTACTCACCCGCAACCCTGTCGCCAGGCTTCACGCCAATATGTTGCAAACTTCGGGCGCATAGGGTAACTTGGCGCTGCAACTCCCCGAACGTGAGTTGGATCACATGGTCACGCCCTTCACCTTGAAAGTGAGGGACAAACATGAAAATATTAAAATGTGCATGCAAACGGCAATCACACAGGAATGATGCACTATTTGGTTTGCCATCTGACAGTTGTCTTATTCAGTGCCCCGATTTACTCATTCGTAGCATTGGAGGCAAATTTCAGTCTAACGGTTATTCAGCGGGAGTTTTCCAAAGATGCAATGGAAACATTACCCATGCAAGCACACGTGTTTATGTCGCGACATTCTGGTCAGGAAAACTAGTAGAGGTTGAGCCAAATCAATCTAGAAAACCGAGCGTTCACAATTAGTAATACAATCCTTACAAAAAAGCCGTCGTATATCAAGTTGACCTTTGGGAAGAGTCTACCGGTCAATGAAATTCCGAAGAATGGCGGTTTAACAGGCGCTTAACAAGGACCCCATTAGGGACACGCTGATGCGTCCAAAGTTTTCAATGTAACATAAACCTCTATAAACAAAGACAACGGTAGTTATAACAAATAAATAATAATGGTTCAGCTGTAATACTACTGCGATTCCCCGCGGTCGGGCTACCTGAGGGTAGCACGAGATCTTAGGTACGGTCAGGTTGCCCACATCTAGACGGGAGCAGTCAAGATGCCGGGGTTCGGTTTGACCCATTGAACTTCCAGTCAGTAAGCTCGCACATTAGTGATAGCCACTATAACGTCAGTATTCACCGTTTTATTTCAATCTGGAGCCTTGTCACTGGTGTTTGTTGAGTAATTCACCACAAAGCAAAGGAAGGTTGACGTTACCACTCAATCCAATATGGATATCTATCGCATCTTTTTCTTCGAACCATAATTCTACTCCCGCAAGACAAGTGTAAAGAACTATTACGGACTTAGCTGATTTTGAGCGCACCAACTGTAGTAACGGTATTTTCCTCAGCTTAGTTCTCGGTCTGAGCCTCCCAAGCTAGCGTTCACGTCAAAACAACCACCAAAGGTGCACAAGGTCTATTAACGCCCAAAACGAAATCAGGAACAGTTGTACAGCGCTTCATATATATAGCATAAGCGGCTATAACTTTCTGGAATTTCTGACGTGTTCTGGAGCGCCATTGGCAACCGGCATTTGGTCAATACTGGGTCCTGATTGGCTGTTGGGTCCAGATTGTTGACCAATCAGATCTCGTCTTGATGCCGGGCCGGCAAGCGTCGCGAATTCTGGGCGAACCTCGAGCGGGCCAGGCTTCTCGGCCGTAACAGCGCCTAAAGACGTGCAGTATAGTGGGATCCGCGTGGATTCCTGCCTAACACCAACTGTCATCAGCACCGAGAGAATGGCCTATTCTATCCAGTAGGCGTCACCTTTCAAAAAGGTTTGACCTAAATATGATAAGATTTCGAATTCCCCTCGACCGCAAAGTTACCTGAGCGATCATGGAACTGCAAGAAATGGTCAAACACAAGACTACACCGGGGATGACACATGATATCTTGGTGCTTGCTCGATCTCCAACAGGTGAAAAAGAGTCCTTCTCATCACGACATGCCGGTTCCCCAAATTGTACACCAAGCCTGGAGAAACCGAAGTGCGTCCTTGACATTGTAAAGCAAATTTCACCCGTAGATTAAAAAGAGTCGAGTTCCTCACGGTTGACGTTCTAAGGATCCGCGTGGATTCCTGCCTAACACCAACTGTCATCAGCACCGAGAGAATGGCCTATTCTATCCAGTAGGCGTCACCTTTCAAAAAGGTTTGACCTAAATATGATAAGATTTCGAATTCCCCTCGACCGCAAAGTTACCTGAGCGATCATGGAACTGCAAGAAATGGTCAAACACAAGACTAAACCGGGGATGACACATGATATCTAAGTGCTTGCTTGATCTCCAACAGGTGAAAAAGGGTCCTTCTCATTACGACGTGCTGGTTCCCCAAATTCTACACCAAGTCTGGAGGAACCGAAGCGCGTCCTTGACATTGTAAAGCAAATTTTACCCGTAGATTAAAAAGAGTGGAGTTCCTCACGGCTGACGTTCTATGGCGTTTGGTTTGTTTGAGTTCACTTACTGAGTTTGGAAAATATCGGAGTGAACTACAGAAATTAAATAAAACTACTATCTTCGTGCGAGTATTTTTACTGTCCTACACTAAAACTGAAAGCTATAAAAACGTCAGTTCGTGAAAATACATAGTCTGTGAAGAAACAAACACAGCGAAAACTCAGACAAGTTGGAGTGGAGCAGAACGAGAACGCCTTAATCTCTTGACCGTTGACACGTTCAAAGGGACATGTAATCTGGAAAATAACTGTTTGGCTCGGTTGAGGTACCTCACTACCTTCCCACACTGTGACCAGCACCGCGCATCATAGTTCGAAACCAGCAGATAGTTTAAAGTGCGACAGCATACAACAGATTCGATAATCAATCACGTTGTACAGTACGATCTCTCCAGGGTGATAGCCGAGGGAACCGGTCATTCTTGGGGTGGGGAGTATAGATGTTAGCCAGAGCTCCTCTGCGAATTGAGGCGTACGTTGCCATAAAAGTTATATCCACTATTTAATGTATGTGGAAAAAAATACAGACTGTCACATGAGAAACGACTTGTTCTAGTTGTTGACACTATTGTCAATCCCTAAAAAACTAGTCATAACTGATTTACTGACAAAAGCTTATCAGTTCGGAGAATCCCCGTTTCATTTGGCGGACAGTAAAAGGTGGGTAGCATTATCACGGTTCTGTGGTGAGTTACAATGAAATGGTGGTTCTATTCGAAAACCAAATTAGTTCGCAAATAAGTGCATTACGATAAAAATCATTCTTGTTCAGCGCATCATTTCATAAATGGGATAAAATATCAAACATGTTCATCAAAGCAGCATTGCAATACGGGTACTCACAGAAGGCAAGAAGAGCGACGTCCGGGGGTTTCCCGCCTGACAGGATGTTCTCCGCGTAGTTTAAGCGACAGTCTGGAAACCATTTAGGAATGGACGACATTTTCGCTGTTGTGTCTATGGCCTAAAAGAAAAAGTGATAAAAAGCAAATAAAATGCATTTTATTATGTAACAGGAATAAACACATGAACTCGATTCGAATACAGTTGACAAAACCAAGTTTTGGTGTTGACGGGGAAGGTGATACTCGTATCTCATTAATGCATTACAGCTTTAATGAAAAACAATATCCCTGCCCCAAGTAACATGAAGTTATATCCTGGAAAGTACTTTTAGCAGCTAGATTATCAGAGCACCCAGTACCCTCAACCTAATTCGTAAGAAGTGCCAGAAGGCATTTTGCATGTATAAAACGCGAGATGGCTCCATGATTAGGGCGCGAATTCGTTGACCGGAAGGTCCGAACCCGACCTCTGCATCTCAACTTCTCCTGTCTAGGCTTGGGCAACCTGTCAGTATCTTACCCGTCGTGCTTCCTTTGGATGGCATGGCAACTAAGCACCGACAGGGTGTCACAGCCGAACGATTAGTAATAATAATATTATTATTATAAAACGCATACATACAATACCGAGTCAGTTACAGTGATCAGTAAAGGGTTGGTTACAAAGTAGATTGGAACGTATGTGTTCTAACTACCATATTAGATCGTTATACTTCAATCAACATTCACGTACGGATGGTGAGCACGTAGGACGAGAGCGAAAGTATCCCCACATATGAGCGGATTGCTTTCCCGAAGTTTTCCAATCACGCAAAATTTACCGGCCAAATGTATGTACAGGTGACATGACTGACCTTCACACTGAAACCGGGTTTAAAATGCTAGACTGAAGCATACCAGAGAACCACATTGTTGTCCAAATCCATTAGTATGAAGTTTGAATTCGTCTGGTGTAAGGTCTCCAAAAACAAATACAATTGACAGACGAGACATCGATTGAAAACCGAATGCAAATATGCAAATAACCACCACGATGTTTATAACACATTGTGGTTTATTGTCTGTCATCAGCTCATCAAATAATAAAACGGAGAGAAAAACCCATCGGAATGGATCGGCACACATTAATTAAAGTTTTCTATACAGGAGAACGTCGGTAGCTCAGGGGCGTAGATGCATCACCAGTCGAGGTGACATCATCAGTGCGTAGTTGTGCGTAGCGGTGGGTTGGTGGTTGTGCCCAGCTCAGCGAACAAGCCAACGACCATTAATTAAAGTAACGGGAGGTGAGGACCAAAAGCTACGTAGGCAGCGGATTATGGGAAACTTCTGAAGCCGATTTGTTCTGTCTTCAAGTATATTCCTAGCCAGAAAGTACTTGATGTGTCTAATCTGAATTAGTCTCTTCTGAAGAGTGACCTCACAAGACCAGGCGGCTGGAACCACCTACACGGTGATAAAATAAACTTGGTGAGACGTTAGATAAAAAACGGAAGAAAAGGAGGATGGGCACGTACAAGTTGTGATTGTCCGAAGAAGACAGAACTAGGCCCCTGAGACTAACGTAGCGGCCATGGTAGCAGACCTGAGTGACTGAGTAAAATAACTAGAGCTGGCCTGTGACATAACCGAAGAATCACACAAGGGTGGAGCTCACACTAAGCCAGCCGATCCTCTGGCTTAGATGCATATATTCTAAGGATGAACTTTGGCTGCTTCTTTGATTCAAGACAGTCTACAATCTGGAAACATGTTCCATAATTCACAGGCACACTTGGTCGAGAACCCCGTCCCACAAGCAATAGAAACCACATTTTAACGCTTAGTGCTGATGAGCCAGTAAGAGCACTGCTTCATACTAGCTGGAGGAACTCTAGAAATAAGCGGTTTCCTGAGTGTCCAGTCAGACTACTAAAGGCACCATGTTTTGGCATCTTTACCAAATGTGTGGCTGACTGATTGATTTTCGTGCTCTACGACTGTTGTGGTTAGGGATTCTCCCCGGTCAATTAAGTTATCGAATCCGGCATGCATCAAGAAATAATTAATCACCTTCAAACTAATCTTCAAACCTGGACTGACGTTTACAACGACGTAAGTTTGCTATAGTGTCCTCTTTTCGGACGACTACCATATGTTCAAATGAACCCACTTGCTTTGCCACTAGACTAGGTCTAGAAAGACACCCTCGACTGAAGGTTGAGGAGGCATCCACGGGTCCTTATCTACCTTGCTTTGCACACCAGTGCGATCCAGAGTTTTCGTCTAGGTAGAGGTAGGGAATACATATTCACTCGCGAAACAAGTCACCTTTTTAAGTGTTCGTGTAGTCCACTTGTGTTGTGAGAACACTGACTCCCAGTGTTCGTCTTGATTTGCGAAAATCCCATATTGAATCCTTCAGTGTCAGTGCTATCAACACTGGGACACTACGCCAACAAAAGTAGAACACATAACTTACTGGGTTCACAATCAACTTTCAGACAAACGTTAGCGGGAGTGCTGGAAGGAGATAAACATTAACGTCCATAGGTTTGAGAATGAGACACTGATTCAACCAATTTGCTTCCGTGTTATTCCCAGTCAATACAAGCCGCATGTTTTAGAGATCGCCAAGGCTGTGGCGATCTGTCACTTAACACCGATGCCATCCATTCACGTAAAATTAAAGGTGTTGTGCGCGTAATGTTGTCAATTTGTGCAATTTTACAACCCACAATCAACTGATCAAATTTGGACTGAGGACGCAAGACTTAATTCAGTGAAAATAAACAGCCAATTCGAAACGCTTGCATCTCCCAGTGCATCACTCAAGGTACTAAAGAGATATTACAGCGTACCTGTCTACCCCGATTACTTCTCTACTAAAGGACAAAATGGCCATGGGTGGCCACGGGCATTAAAAACACTAGACTGCTGACTAAAGATTATAACGTTCCCAAAATGGACCGAACTTAATCGAACGACAGTAGCGAAGGTGTCAGCAACAGTGATGAGATCTCGGGAAAGTACGCACTAAAAATGTTGACAAAACGCATTCCTGAACACAGTGACCCGACCGAGCTGAACTGACTCACAATTATTATTTCAGAAAGGTTTGGAAAACGATTCGGAATCAGTCTGTTGACAGTTAACCAAACTTTCTTCAAACAATGACTTTCCGATTGGTTCAAAGCTTTTTCCCACTGGATAATCTGCGATATTTTTTAAGCGATTTTATCGTCTTTGACCAAAAATCATACAGTCCGGCAGAAGTTACGAGCAGCCTAATGGAATAAACTTTGGCCCGAGTTCGGTTACTCGTGAGCGCAGTCGGATTGGTTGCTCATTTCCATCCTAATGAATTTCTTTGAATTATACATTTGCTGATTCATAAATATAGACACCACCATAGGCTATAAAAACTGCGTATTTGCCGTACAATTATTCAGGCCGATATCTTGGAAAGATAGCTGCGCATTTAGAGGCGCTAGTTGATGAGTAAATACAGGGTTGTCAGTAAACTTTTCATTTCATAATGTACGCTCCAAGACAGGCTTCAAGATACAATTTTTCAAGATAGGGACGACAGTAGATGTCTGCCGTTCCCTAAACAATTCTTTTACCTTACAGACACTGTGCACAAGTGAAAGCACCCTTCTCTACTATCTATTAATTGTTGAGAGCTGATAAAAATGGATGAATAAAAATACCACTGAGTGACTTCAGCATTATGTATCCGAATATGTTTATATTCGTTTCGTGTGGATTTTCGGTCTTCCCACTGATGAACCAATCAAAGTTGGATGAGTCTACACAATCACAACACATATGAGTCCATGCGACTTTCACTTAAAGCTTCGTTTATCGGAATATTCTACTCTGTAAATGATGTTACTTTCCTTGATCACCATTCTATAACTGTAAAATAGCCAACAGAATGGGAATTGCCGAATACGAGGATTTGATTTAAAAAAAACTGAAAGGAGCCAACGCCACGATGCGCAGCGTACCAATCTACTTTGCTGATCGACCGAAAAGAAAATTGTGGACTGATTCAAAAGACGGGTTTTTATGATGATCGTAACACACCATAATACTGTAACACGTCACATTTGACATACCTGAGTCGGTGGTACGGAATGGCGCACACAAGCGTGGAAGAAAAAGTCCAACCAGAATTGATTCAGTTGCTCAATAGACCATGTGTAAAATTTGTGATAATCTCCACCGAAGTTCAAGTTGTGCTTCTGTTCCACAAAATGCATGAACTCTAGCATAGATATGCCAGAGTTTGAGGATGGTGTCCATAGTGTGGTGGACATGGGCACTGGAAATGAACAAAGGAAAATATCCATAATATTTGTGGCATACTCCAATGTCCGTGGACAAAAAGAGGATAAGAAGGAGAATCTGCTCAAGGATCATTTATTTATTAATACAAAAAAGAATAGAAAAGTTAGCATAATAATCAAGATAGGTCTCTTTATTTGACTTCATATAGGTAGTGATGCACGGTTTGGCGTAATTGGTCCCGATCATCAGCTGAAAAAAAAACAGTGTATCGATAAGAACTGCACACAATTATTACTATCAGTAAAGTGAGATTATCCAATCAATGGACATAGCAACGCAAAATCGAACCAGCTTCGACTGTGGATAATCTTACCAATAGGCGACCTCCAACGAGTGTATGGTAAGAGCAGCAAGGAATTCGCGAGGCTCTGGCTGGCTGTCAACATCAACTATCGGTAAACAAAATGAACCACAATACCAGTCCGCTAAGCTCGAAAAGGATACACGATATCAGAACGCTCAAGTGTATTGTTCTCCGTCAACTATGGATATATACATCCACCAACTACTTTAGTTGTTTCAGGGCAACAGCTCTGCTGTGTACCCCAAATCATAGATATGTTATGGTCCAGGTGTCTTAGGTGCGCGTTATTGCCGAAGCAGCGGCAAGAGACACCGAAAAATGGGATATGAACTGAACCCCATAGCAGCAGATACCATGTGATATTGCAGTTCGGTAAATAAGCTTCATAACATGTTTCAGTGATGCGCTCACTTGAAATCATTACAATTCGCTGCGATAAATGGTGCCTTTCCGATAGACATAATAAAATCAGTAGGTGATACAAATTGACAAGCCGGATGACAATGTTCTCGAAACCGTTGATCAGGAGTTTCTATGTATTTATTTATCCGAAACAGCACGTGCACTCTCCAAAAACCCATTTAGTTGAAGATTGTCAACTGTAGTGGAAACACAGACTCGGTTATATCACTTTGCGGTCAGCTGCTGTCGCACAGTCTTCCCTTCTAAGGTTCACAACTCGAATCTGATTATTCATTTGTACGAACATGCTTGTCAGCCTACCTTCTATCCGGAGGCGAGCCACTCCATATAACCGGACATCACGTCGATTGAGGGGATGTGTCGCCAAAGGTCCACGGACCAAAGGAAAGCATGTCTTAATCAGTCAGGATATGGACCAATCAGAATTGAGCATTTTCAGCTCGACACTTTTCGTTCAACTACGGAGATTCTAGCTTGGTCTTGTGAAACGTTGTGATCACTCTATGAAAACAGCGGTGGCAATCTTAACTCATCCCCATTACAGGCGGTCTGTAATTACCATGCCCTTCGATATTCCATACTGAGCGAACAGCAAGCTAAGGATTAGTATTGGAGCTGAGATCCTCAACACCTTGCCTATATATTGCACGAGCAGTCATGGGGTCACACTATGCACCTACTTCGAAAACTGCCCGAATCCTACAGCTAGCCCGAAAGCCATTGGACATGGAACAACAAGAAAACAGGGATGAGAGATGTGAAAGAAATTATGTTCATAGCTTTCGAAGAAGTCTATCGACACGAATCGACATGACAGAATGAAGTGTGGTGATCGTCACGGCTTCAAAAATTTGGTCATACCGGACAAAAGCATTTAAGCCAGTTACCACGATAGTGAATAGCAGAATCTAGGAAACGACAGAAAGCGATGGTCGAAAGCAGTGTACTACATCTATGCAATGTATCGCGATATCTCGAATATCGTGCCAACTGAAAAATGAGGCGGCCTGGTGCAGCACATTCAGTTGCATTAGAGCATGATAAATGAGAGACTCAGCTGGGTTCAAAACTAGTCCCCCGTCAAAGCCGAATTGGTATGCAAATGAGTGTATTTGCCGAAATCTGTGCAATTAGGATTCAATTAGAGCATAAGGTTGGCGGAAAGTCGGGGACTGCGCCTACCTGATGAGCCCCAAGAAGGGAGAAGACGGTAACGGGCTGTCGAAGAGTTTTCAGCAGTATTACGAGTAGTGTGCAACGTCTATACAAAGTAAACATCCGTTTGCAAGAGGCAAAAGTAATTCAACATGAAGTCACGTTCCCTGAATGCCACATCGTGACGGGTTGATCATTCTGTCACTCACAGTTTCCTGTGAGCAAAGCTCAGTAACCAAACTGGTAATCTTTGTGTGAACCTTAAAAAACGGTTGAGTGGCGGGCCTGGTTTCACAATCAAGGTAAACGAAGAGAGGAGAAGACTTCACAGGCTGCACAGTTCACCTATCTCATAGGTCACCATTCAAGGAGCCAGTCAACACCAGATCGCGTGATAATGATATAGTTGTAGCGATAGGGTGATAGTTGCGGGGTTGAGATGTTACATACTGAGTCTTGAGCAACCGCTTGAGTAAACAACTTACGATCGATCTGCAGTGCCTGTAGACTGGAGGCGATCGATGCGTCATTTGATAGTTCATGGAACAGACACGGCTCGACAAGATGATCCACATTGAGGTTATGGTAGATTAGCAGGCTGTGTTCGCACGTGGCGTAAACAAATACCGGTTCGTTTCTTCCCGGTTCAACAGCATACCAGCCGGCCAGAAAGGCTTGGCAAGACTGTCCCATAGGGAAACGAAGAATTTGCTTCCGATGGTTAAACACGTAGGTTGTCCCATCCCAGGCACACACACACAATTCGTCGGTGTGGCCGCGCTGAAACGTGAAAGTAGCGGGTGTCAGACAGCCCACACGTCTTGTTTACGTAAAAGTCGATGGGAGCAGGCAATCACTCGAGTCTGTTTACAAAAGACAACAAGATATCGAGCACAGCAGTTTTACATATACAGCTGCATAAGGAGTTAAAGTACCTCTTAGAAAAGTAACATTTGCGCTGTGTTTCACTCCGGTAAAAAGTCTTCATGTATGAGTGGGGTACAGGATGGCTTATGCCCACGCGAGTTTCAACAACACTTGCAACTCGAATGTAAGATATCCAACCCGTGCCAACTGTTGTTCAGAATCTGGCCCGGAAATTGTGACATGCGTACGCCTGGTGATTTTAAACAAAATGAAACACAGGATGAAAAGTCTTCATGTATGAGTGGGGTACAGGATGGCTTATGCCCACGCGAGTTTCAACAACACTTGCAACTCGAATGTAAGATATCCAACCCGTGCCAACTGTTGTTCAGAATCTGGCCCGGAAATTGTGACATGCGTACGCCTGGTGATTTTCAACAAAATGAAACCACAGGATGAGTTCCAATAAAGAACTATATCCTCTGATATTGGTCTTCTTAGGGTCTGACCAGCTGTTCACCATAACGCCCGGTTGAAAATTCGAGAGCGCGACTTGCCAATTATCAGATGATTCGCAGTGAACGAAGAATCAGTAGCTACATAATCTGACTACACATAAATAGTTCAGCTGTTCTGATTAACCATCGTCTGAGATTGACAAAGTCAGTCTTCAGAAAATTCACGGCTACGAGCAGTGTATCCGTAACCAAATGTGTACACATCTTTTAAGGTGTGCAAACAATGATAATACCGCTTTTAAAATTAGTTCCACACCAACTCGACTTGAGAGATACAAATATTCAATGCACATCACTGAAGGTATCTGTTCATTGAATGCATGAGCAGTCTGATTCGGTACGCATGCATCTCTCTGGAAATTATACTGTGTAATGAAAGCCCATGAAACACTCTTAAGGCCGGGTCAAACCAGTTGCGAAAATCAACACATTTAAGTAGACGCGACGGACTTTACCGATCAGTGTATGCAGATTTGTAGACTGTCGAACAGTCCACTTCGGCGTTAAACGGGTCTTGTCATCCCTAAGTATGTAATTTGGACACGGATTCTGTTAGCACTTGTGTAAAGGATAGTCTGATAAAAAAAGTGATCCTTTTAGTTGAGTCGATGACGACAATTCACCGCGAAAAATGTGGATTTCATTTTTATGGTGACTTGAGGGTTATAATTTTCAAGCGAATTATATTTTACCTGGCTTTCTGGAACTCGAATCCTCCGCTGATCGCTCTTCGTAAGATCTCCACTCCTTATCCCTCTACGGCGAAACTCATCTACCCCTGAGGCCACCCTTTCTGGGAACCGCACATTAGGATACGGCTGACGGGAACGGTGTTGAAGACCTTCCAGGATGGTCGTTTGGGAAAGCCTGTTGTGTGTAGTTTCAAAACGTTGATAGGATTTCCCTCCGTTTTCTTCTCGAATTGCCGCTTACGCAGATTCTCTTTCGCATTTGTCGAAAGCAGAACTTCAAATGGATAGCATATTAGAGGACCGGTCCGTGCGGAGCGAGTGTTAGGACAAATGAACTGACACATGTTCTTCAGGGGAATGTTGACGGGAGTCACGAGAATAAGTCTAACAGATGACATCCTATGCTTTGGAAAGAGGGGAAACGAGCCGGAGGCGGTCAAACAATGAATTGGCAGTAAAGTATAAGATCGATTACCAGCAAACTCAGCTGCGCTGGTCATTGCCGTCTTCCTGGATGGCGACCCCGAGACAGGCCACATCAATGGCTAGAGACACTGTCAGACAGGGCCCAGTCACGCCCTCGATGGCGCTCGTGCATCCAAGCTATTGCCTTCAATGCATAGCTCCCTGTATTTGCGCATTAATGTATCAGCTCTCGCTTCCAATGAACAACTACCTACCCCACCTCCCCAAATCATCGGTGAACGAAACTGTGAAGGCTACAACCACATTATGACAAGTACGCGGTTATTACAGCTGACAATGATGACGATGATGATGATAATTCTACTTCAAACGGATTTGTGAGCCATGGAGCATGTGATACCCACGCGAAAGACCATTTGTAGAAGGAACAAAAGAAGGATAAGCAGAAAAAAATATTGATCGGGAACTATGCAGAAAAAAATTCTTTGCAGCACAGCCTCGCATCGCAAGTTAACAGGTGGGGAACTTTGGAAATAATCGAACGTTCCGTTCCTATAATCAATTGGATTACGGCACACAAAGGACAGTAAGCACGGACAGAACACCTTGCTGAAGACAGCTACTGTTGTATGGCTACGAATTCCATTCATATGTAGACCCATCTATTGATTGCTTATTGACGGCTATCAATAAATGGCAGTAATGGTGTCTGATCTCCATCAACACTTCTCAAAGCATACACTGTGACCTATCTTAAACTTTGTTGCCATTATTAGCATTTAGGGCTGAGAGAACCGGACAAGCTGAAAACTAAAAGGCTTATGTGCAATACCAGGGTAATCATGGGTCGCGGTAACAATAGAATTTAGGAGACGTGTTAACGAAATGATACATAGTTCATAGAGCATTGTAAGGAATACGGACATAAATCTCAGAAAAGGAGAAGAGGTGAAATAGATATCCAACTAAACAGTACACCTGCAGTCAGCGCTGATAAGTCGGTCTAGGTGAGCATTGTCAAACAGTCGACTAAAAATCCTCATTTCGTTAAAAAAAAACGCATATATGCAGGAGTATACACGACAAGCCTGGAAAAGTTTCCAGTCCAGAAACAGACACGCGTTTGACGAGATGGTTTCAAACTCATCTCTGTGTGAGACAATTAACTCTCGTATTAAAACAACTCTGTCCCAGATTCTCGGTGACAGAGACCAGCCGGTAGGCTTGCCTAGAGGGAACAGTCAAGCTACCCGCAGTGATTCAATGAGACCACGTCGATTATTGATCCACCGAGTGATGTGCGCGCAGGGAGGGGACACAAATAGTCTGAATAAAATTGTACGTATGAGCGATGAATATTAGGAATAATGTGTGCGAAGTTGGGCGTGGGGAATTCCAAGCAACGGTTATTCAGGAAACTGAAGAGACGAAGTCATTGAGTGGTGGCTTTCTGTCGTCGTTTTAGATAAGCGTGGAGTATAAGATGACTGATTATAAGCGAAAGCAAGTGTTTTTTCTTAAAGTGTCAAGATTATTTTGCCTGAAGATATTCGGTATTCCGTACCGGTCTTATTATCATTCACCAGATTAGCCTTCAGTGCAAATTTTCATATTCAGTAAAAGTCAGTCGCTAGTAGAATCATTTGTCGGCAGTTTCCGAAAAGTTTTACTATCAATATTCAGTCCTTGTCAATTCACCTGTGACTCGTGCACCGTAACCGCATGTTACTGTCACAGTGAGGTGATTGTACCCAAGTAATCCATTTCGTTTCTTAACATTCGAAATCAAAGGAGAAGTGTTGCGAAATGAACTGTTGCATAGCCCCAGTTCCAGGTCGTAGATGGCTAATTTCGACAGATAAATTGGACGACTACGTACAAGCTGCCGGAATACTATTAGGCAAACATTTTTGGAAAACGTACATTGTGGATATTGTCCCAGAGACGTCAAGTGAACAAGGGCTTACCGTCAAGTTTACTTTCGACAAACCAAACAGTTCACCACGAAAGTGAAGTTGAATGCACCAAAGAACTCGTTCGGCTTCGTCTTCGGTGGCAGGATTCATTAACAAAACAGTTCCGTCAGCCATGCAAACGCCCACGATTGGATCGGTCACGTCATCTGGAGACTTGGATTGGGCTGTTACATGATTCTCAGTGGGTAAAGCTCCACCACGAACGTTGCCCACAATCCAGGTTCGGGCATCCAAATTGCGAGTATTAGTAATGCGCGGAGGGTAGTAGACCAAAGTAGGACTATAGAAATGAAAATAACACTGGTGAGGACGCAAAACTGTCATCGTTGTCGGTCAGCAACATCAGTATGTTAAAGAGTTTCAGCATTCAAATACGTTAGGTCATGATTTGGGGCCTAGCCACGGCACACTGATCCACAATACTTCAAAATGAATAAAAATTTCCTTCCGATGATGGTTTCAGAATAAATAGTCAAGTGTGCCGAACCCTAACGAGGTCACCTGTTTTCTTCATGAATTGCTCTACTTCAGTACAATATTCAGACCCTCAGTACATATCATTCAAAATAAATGTTGACTAAGTTTATCATCAAGTCCGAACTGGTAGACCAATCTCGAAGATAGCACGCTGCGTGGTGATCGCGTAAGACACTATTAAGTTGGACCCAAAACTAAGCATGAAAGTAGCATAGTTCAGGGTACCCGAGGTCCTTTGCTATCCATCGATTATATGTAGCGTTCTACATGTTCCCCATTATATCCTCTATGTTTACCGACAATTTCCACCATGCACTAAGACCATTCTCCTCAGCCAGTCATCGTACCACTGTATCTGATTCATTTGTATACAATCTCATACTCAGGCAGAAGATAAAGTTGAAGGGTGCTCGGCGAGTCTCATGAAGAACGAAACGGGCTGTCGGGCTGTTTCCAGCAACACTTATGTCCGGAAAAATACTTCAGTATCGCACCAACTGACGCATGAGGTAGCCACTCTACAGCAGATTCATTTGGGAAACAGCACGAACTAGGAGCCGGAATTCAGTTGAGTCTCTCGTTAGAACCGTATGAGTTTGCAAATGAATGTACTTGTCATTTGGTTATGTAGAGTCTTCAGCCAGGTCAGGTCTGTATAGTCTTAGTTTTGGTAAGCCACCGGCCTTCTCCGTATCTTACAGAAAGGAATGTGAAAATAGAAATACCAGTGCTTATTCTGCAAACCACGCGTGCGTGAAATCCTGTATGTGCGAAGGACAAAGGGATTCCCTTCAGGTGGCTAAAGCGAACTTCTGTTATGCCCGTACCTAGCGTGACTCATCAGCAAGGGCCAAGTGTCGTAGATAAAAAGACTACTCTAGTATTGAAGCATTATAAGGTGGAATCTTGGAATTTCGAATTTCCAGTGTAGCCAAGAAGCAGTTGTACTTACAAGTCTCTGGGGCACATAAGCGACCCCCTAGGCGTGTGTTACTCAAGCACAGTTTGATTAGTTGGACAGCCATGTCGTGTACAGATAACTAGCACCCTGAACATCGATCTGCCGACAGCCCTTCAGTGAGACCATTATTACAGCCAAATTTAGCTACTTCCAACCTTGCAGATAAATCTTCCAAGAAGGGTGATTTTTGAGGCCCAGAACTTAACTTTACCAGAGATTCCCTTAAGTAATATGCCCCTCTTCCGCCGCCCTAAAGTAGTGTCGTACGCATGGAATGGGGGATGTTCCTATTAATTTTTTGAAGACAAGTCGTCCTGCCTCTTCAGTGGTAATAGACAGCCCTTGTCCCTCCGTGGAAGACATATCTATGGTGGGGACACGAAATATGCTCCCCACAGGATACCTATTGCATCCTCTCCTTCACTCTTCGAGGTACACCATACACGTTCGCTTTCAAGCGACCTTCATTAACTTACTCTAGGCGTTGCCAAACTGATATTTTTCCTTACTCTACGTAGCTGATTCCTAGGACCATTTATATTTCCTAATAAACGTTCGATTACTAAGATTCATATCCATCCAATAATTTGAGTTCTGTTTTTAGTTGGCTTGTACATTAACCTCCGACGAGCCAAATAGATCTACAGCCGGCTGATTGAGTTCAGCAACCCGATTCGCCCAAAACTAGGCGGCATTCCACTCTCAGTTGGAGGAGAGGGGATAATGTTGCCTGCAAAATCTCCACAAGAGAAGCGCTTCTCGCGCAACTAGTGGAAGAATGGAAACAAGCCAAGATAGGTCAGTGACTTGGCAACGAATTATGGAAGCCATCACCAGCAACCTGAGCAGCACTGGTAATCACAATCTCCCTGGGTGGAGACTCCGAGACAGGACACTTCAATGATTAGGGACATTGTCAGCTATGGTCTAGTTGCGTCCTCGTGCAACCGAAATGTTACATTCACTGCATAGCTCGATTCGCGACCCATCCAATGAAACGTTCACTGACATCGCTGTATTTACGCGTCAATTGTATCAGCTATCGCCTCCGAAGGGCCTACCTGCCTCATCCTACCCAAATCACCGATGAACGAAACTGTAGCAGTTATAACCAAGGTACGGAAAGCACGCAGTTCTTACAGTTACTAGGGAGGAGGAGGAAGAGGAGGACGGAACTGTCGAGGTAAATGTACTGTCCCGTCCACATCTGACTCCTGTGCATTTCGCCCTGAATACATGTATTCCGTTAGCGACATATAATGAAGTCGAAGGAATGCAGTTGACTCTTGTGTTTAATTTCCGGAATTATGGTGAAGTGAGTTAGAGAATTCCAAACCGCAGTGGAATCAGCATGAGCTGCAACCACAAAAAATCCACCGGCCGATTGGAGGATGAGTGGAAACGTGTCACGTCCAATTGCAGACCAATCAAACTATTGATGAGGCGCTCAACGTTGGACGGCCAAAATTCGCGGGACAGGAACGTAAGATCTGTCCAGTGCTTGTCGCCATTGCCGCTAAAATCTTCACTGAACTACTATTTAATATCAAAACATATGCTTCCATCGAAACAAAATCCCTCACACCATCAAAAAAGCAGCCGGCGGTGGGTTGCAGATGCGATTTTCATGGATAAATAAAAAAAATAATAAAATAAAAGCCGACATTAAGCAGATTCTTTAATATCACCAGAATGTATTTCCTCGTGAAAATACCAATAAAACAGAGAAGCAAACTCACACAATATTGTCTTGGTATTTTTCGAATTTCCGATGTAGAATGGCAAATCCACCCCCGGGTTGAGAAGCCAACAGCTGCAAATAGTTTAGGGATGGAAACAACTAGCTTCAAAGCGATTCCGCATTTAAAAAAACACTATAACGACTGAAAAACAGCAAAGTTATCTAGAAAACAACCTTCTTCTATCCGGGAATCGGAGTTTCCTCAAACACTAAATTACGGTTAAGTCGTTGCGCCGAAGCAATGCTTGCCTCATGAACCTCCGATGGACAGTACAACTGGCACATCTGTCTAGTTCATATTCCTTCGACCAATAAATGACCAAATGAACTTAAACGGAATGTCGACAATGTGAGAGCATTCCAGCAATAGGATGGCATTCGATTTGGTTTGGGTGGTCGTTCAAGAAAAAGTGGTGAAACAACACCGAAAGCGTAGAGCATCACGCACATTCATTTCTCCAAGTTGAAACAACAAAAATGGCCAACTTGGAAGACTCACCAGGCTGTCAGAGTCAGGAGTTGGATGTGTACTGATACTGTTTACCTGGGAAAAACATACGAATAACAGCGATATTCGAGAAAGCAAAGCAGAAAATGACACAAAGGTTATAAAAAACAGCACACAGGACTTGATTTCAAGGAAACTGGAACAGAACTTTGCGAATATAGCTTAGGAGCTCCAGTCGCGGGATCTTTCAGGGCGACTGATGCCATCGGAATGAGCGGTTCGATATTCATTAGTACTATCATCATTCATTACTATCATTATCCAGAGTCATTAATTAAAGGGCAGCAGAAACAAAAGAAAAGGGATATTGTATTCACAACTGCGTTTATTACGATAGGTTCAAGCGTCCTGTAACACCCTAAGTCATCCGATCATTAGGAGGGAAAACAGGGAAAGTAAGGCAGCAGGATACAGGGAAGGTAAACAGGCAGTAAAATGGAGTACGTGTACGGTAGGTAGCCAGTATAGTCGATAGGTAGTTCAACAACAGACTGTTTGACCGACGCATGGGGAAGTAGCATGTTTAATACAGTAAGAATGCAGCAAATAAAAAGTGAAATAAAAAACAGACGACAGACTCTACAAGGTAGAGTGTAATACTAAGTTATTAACAAGAGATGGCCGCTGAAAGAACCTACTTTGTGTGGTGGACAACAAGCTCGGTTGCCCCGGGTTCGATACCCGACTCGGTCACATTGTCCCGCGACATATAATCGGAAATATAAAACGTACGAAACTGCGTGTGAAGATGAACAGTCAGCCAAAAGGCAAGACGGGAACTAAAGGGTGAGCACAGGTTGGGCGAATGCAGAAAAACAGAAGACGAGCGGCAGAAGGACAAAACGGTTCTGTGGTATACAGACATTAGCCGCGCTACTCACGAGTAGTGAAAACTAATACCAGAAGTAATCGTTGGTTGCCGTTGGTTCACCAGGAATCCAGAATTTTCCAATCATATGGATTACATGGAGATTCAGCCTAATCTGCTTCCCCCAAGCACTCCCACAGTGGCCGGCCTTCGGTACGGAGAACACCGAGTGGCACTCACGTCCCTTGAAGCCGGTCGCGGTCCCGGTTGCATCTACATCTGCTTCGTCATCACCTAAATTGGTCCCGATGTCAACATAAACCCTGAATAAGCTGCATGGCTAGCAACGAAGCTCGAGAATGCATATAAAGGCGAATTCGTGTCCGAGGTATGAACTACCTGAATGAAAGTGATGGGGACTTTGGGAACGTGGGCAAGAACAAGGTACCCACACTTTCAAACAGTAGTGGAAAGCTCAATGAAGATTTCATCCTGTAGCTGAAGTCAATTAATGCTGAAAAGCTGAGAAGCAATGTATAGATGTTTCATCCTCACTGGGAATCATCGGCAACGCACACCTCACGAGAATCTAGGGAGTTTTGGGCCCACAACCTCCCATAATGAACGCGGTTGAGCATCATAAAGAGGTAATAAGCTATCAGCAGAATCAGCCCAGCATCATTCGTGAACCTTACTTGATAAAAGCTGGCACAGGAGGAACGAACTTTAGCTAAGCAGTTCCGCTAGAAAACTATGCCAGTACTCGTTGGCACTGGTCGACAGAGTTTTTATGGAAATGGAAATGCGGTGATGAAACCAACTCACCTGG